CCTCCCACCCTAAAAGGGGTGTGACCAGCCTGGAAACAGCCATCAGCCCCTCACCCAGGCTGGCCAAACCTCCATGGGGTGAGGGTCCCCACTAGGGGGGTCTTGACTAGCCTGCAAACAGCCATCAGCCCCTCACCCAGGCTGGCCAGGCACCCCAGTGGGACCCCTACCCTCATCCGAGACACACTTCAGGGCAAACCAGCAGGTCCCCGCCCATGCACCAGGCCTCTGTCCTATATAGTAAAAGGGTAATATGCAAATTGACCCTAACAGCAGAACGACTGGGAATGACTGGTCACTATGACACACACTGACCACCAGGGGGCAGATGCTCAATGCAGGAGCTTTCCCTTGGTAGTCAGTGTGCTCCCACTGGGGGAGCTCTGCTCAGCCACAAGCCAGGCTGAAGGCTGCCAGTACAGCAGTTTTGGGGGGAGCCTCTCCCGCTTCCTCAGCAGCATTAAGGATGTTTGACTGCAGCTTAGGCCTGCTCCTTACTTGTAAGTGGACATCCCCTGAGGGCTGCTGGGCTGCCAGAGGGATGTCTGACTGCCAGCTTGGGCTTGATCCCCCAGGGAGTGGGCCTAAGCCAGCAGGTGGACATTCTCTGAGGGGTCCCATACTGCAAGAGGGCATAGGCCGGGCTGAGGAACCGCCCCCCCCGACCCAGTGCACAAATTTTTGTGCACCAGGCCTCTAGTTTTATAATAATAGTTTGTTCAGAGACCTGTGCATGTATGTGTGTGTGCATGTGGGCTTGATTGTGTGCACACAATAGCTGCTTGTGAAGCACCTGTGAGAAAAACCTCTTTCAACCTTCCCCCACAATGTCTCTCATCTGTCTCTTGATTTCCACTCCCTTGACACCACCATTGCCCAAGGCCTTATTGTGAGGCCCCTGGACTTTTGCAATTGTTTCCTAAATACATTTTCCCTCCTATACTAATACAACCACCTAGTTAATATTTTTAAAACATTAACAACGTTTACCTTTTATTTGTCTTTCTTGGGTAATACATTCACCTGGATAATACATTTAAAAATTCTAAAGTGCAAAAGAAGGTGTGGTATAGGGGAAATCACTCTCCTTCCTTGTCCTTCAGCCAGCCAGCTCCCCTCTTCAATGGAAACATCTGTTTGTTATTAGTTTCTTGACTTCCTTCCATAGATACTTTATGATTGTACACCTTAGAATTTTCTTTTTCTCCCTTTTATACATAAATAGGAGCATAGAGTAAAAATCATTCTAGCCCTGGCCAGTGTGCTCAGTGGTTAGAGCGTGGACCCACCAAAAGGTTGTGGGTGTGATTCCGGTCAAGGACACCTACCTAGGTTGTAAGCTTGTGTGAGAGGCAACCAATTAATGTGTCTCTCTCACATCAATGTTTCTCCCTCTTTTCCTCCCGGCTCCCCCTTCTCCCCCCTTCCTCCCTTTCACTCTCCCTAAAAATCAATGAAAGAAATATCCTTGGGTGAGGATTAAAAGAAACCACCATTCTGTACTTTGCACTTTCATCACTTAGCAGTGTATCTTGGAGATCTTTCCATATCACTACATAAAGAACTTCCTCATTCTTTGTTTGGCTGCATTGAAGTTCATTGTGTGGCAATATCATAGTTGATTTAACCAGTTTCTAGTTGATAGACATTTATTTTGTTCCCAACCTTTGCAGTTAGAGAAGTATTCCCTGTGTGTTGAAACTTCATTATGTATATGGCTCAGCTTAAAAAACACTTTGATTGCCCAATGCCCACAGAACAGAGTACTATATTTTGGCATTCAAAATCCTCTTCAATGACTTTCTAATCTTATTATTTGTACTTTCCAAAATGAACTGTCTGCTTTAGTCTAATAATTACATTTAAGACCTTTTTCAAATGCTTCTTTAATTTTCTCTTCTGTACTTCCCCAAATGAACTGTCTTCTTTAGTCAGTGATATTTGTTCTTCCCTACATGGGCCTTTGCTGTTCTTAGTCCTCTAGCTTGGATCCTCACCTCCCGGCCTTGCCTTGGGAAGTTGTGTCTGTTCTTGTTGGCTAATCTTGAGTTCTACCCTCTCTGCTGATCTTCTCAATCCTTAGTAACATCTTCTTTCTCTTAGAAACCCCAGTCATTGATGTATATGCTCTTTAGCACAGTGATGGCGAACCTATGACACGCGAACTCATTTTTTTGGGTTGATTTTTCTTTGTTAAACGGCATTTAAATATATAAAATAAATACCAAAAATATAAATCTTTGTTTTACTATGGTTGCAAATATCAAAACTTTCTGTATGTGACACGGCACCAGAGTTAAGTTAGGGTTTTTCAAGATGCTGACATGCCGAGCTCAAAAGGTTCGCCATCATTGAGCATGTGTGTGTACACATGCATGTGCATCTAGGCTTATGATATTTCCTTTTAAATGTGTACATGTCCTTTTTATCAGCAAGATTGTGAAGTATTGAAGGTATTTTAGTTATATGTATTTTATGGCTCTCAAAATTACCCAGCACAATTCCTTTCTTTATAGATTTTTGTTTACTTATCTGTTATCCTTAAACATTCAAAAGTCTTACATCCTGCTGTAAGCCAAAGTCCTCATTGGTTTCCCTTGCTGTGTTGATCCTGGGATTAAGAATGATGGCTAGTCCCCTGAGTTTTGTATGGCTCTTCTCTCACCTGCTACAGCTGGCTTCTCTTCTTTTAAATATATATATATATATTTCAAAGAGGAAGGGAGAGGGAGAGAGAGATAGAAACATCAATGATGAGATAGAATCATTGACTGGCTGCCTCCTACATGTCCCCTACTGGGGATTGAGCCCACAACCTGGGCACGTGGCCTTGACCAGAATCGAACCTGGGACCCTTCAGTCCACAGGGCGATGCTCTATCCACTGAGCCAAACCAGCTAGAGCCTGGCACCTCTTCTTAGCCACCCTTGAGGCTTCACAAATGTCTTACATTTCCTGTTTCCATGACAACATGCATACCTCCTTTTCCAATAAACTGTTCTATTTCTTTTTTCTAAATTATGATTCTTCACCCTCAGTGAAGCCTTTATACTAGCCGTGGGCAAACTACAGCCCGCGGGCCGGATCCAGCCTGTTTGAAATGAATAAAACTATTGAAAAAAAAGACCGTACCCTTTTATGTAATGATGTTTACTTTGAATTTATATTAGTTCACACAAACAGTCCATCCATGCTTTTGTTCCGGCCCTCCGGTCCAGTTTAAGAACCCATTGTGGCCCTCAAGTCAAAAAGTTGGCCCACCCCTGCTTTATACCATAGGGTTTTCTAGATTCTCCTCCATGTTTCCAGTCACTTTAACATCTAGGAATAATAATGATGATAGTTAGCTTTATCAAGAGCTTTCTGCCCTAGATGGTTTGGCTCATTGGATAGAGCGTCGGCTTGGGGACTAAAGGGCCCCAGGTTCGATTCCAGTCAAGGGCATATACCTTGGTTGCAGGCATATCCCCAATAGGGGGTGTGCAGGAGGCAGCTAATCAATGCTTCTCTCTCATTGATGTTTCTAACTCTATCCCTTTCCCTTCCTCTCTGTAAAAAATCAATAAACTATATTAAAAAAAAAAAGAGCTTTCTATGCACCAGGTACATTATTTGCCTGATCTCATTCCTCACAACCTAAAAGACAGGGATACTGCCCGTAACATGTTTATTGCCTTTTGTTTCTTGTTGAATAGCACATGATCATATTTATGACTATTTATTGACAGATGGCCTTATTATCTATGTGTGGATTGGCCCATTTTGATAAGTGGCCAATGCCCTTTATTTCCAGCTGCCCTGGAGGCAGCATGCTGCTTGGTCTCCTCCCAGGGCATGAGTGAGGTTGTACTTATTTAGGGAAAACAAACTCATTTTAACAGTTTCCAAAAAGATCATGACTGGTAAAATAATTCTACATGCACGTATTCTGCCAAAATGATTTTTAGATTATTCAGTTTGGGGATTTTACACATTTGTGCTGTTTTTTGTGCCATCCCGACTCTGCTCTGTCAGATTGTAAACTTCTCAGATGCAAAGACTTACTCTACACTCCCTGAAATCTCTAATTGCTAATAAAATTGTTAATACAAAATTTCCCATAAAGTATGGTTCAGTTAATTAATTGAATTAATTAGTTTTGTATTGACTTCTTTACTTTTTTTTCCCCCCCAGGAAATCATTTGCCAGAAGAATACTGTGAGTATTTTACTTAACTCTTCTAGAAACTTTATCTTTTCTTTTCCATCAGCTAATTTATTATTTTCATCTCCACAACATTTTAACTTCTATCTCTTTAGAGTTTCTGATATATCCATATAAATATGACTATTTTATCTAAATATTCCTTTATAGTAAGATTTCATTTATAATATTGGGAGGTTATACTGATACCTGCTTTTTTAAAGTACATAATTACATTTTCGAAAATATTTGCAAAATATATCCAATTTTATAGAATTATAAATGACACTAAAGCAGCATATATATACACACAGATACATGCATGTGTATGCATGTATGTATATATATCTACACATATATAATATAAGCTATATATACAAATTATAGATATACATATAAATATATACACATATATAGATATATTTATATATGCATAATTCTATCTAATGTATCATCTATTTATCAATAGAGATTGATTTAAGTTCTTAAGTCTTGTATCTGTTTTTGAGATAACACTACAAAACTCCTACCTTCCACACAGAATTAAATAAAAGTTAAACAGTGATAGAAATAAATTTAAAAAATGTTTAAATGCCTGAAGAAAAAGAATATACGGGTGAGTCACCTGTTATACCAATGGTTGCATTTTTCATTTTGGAAAGTAAGTCAGTGTTTGAAAACTTTAAAGAATATATCTCTGCAACTTAGAGTAGAAATAATATACTACAAATATTTGCATGATTCAGTTTAAGATGATAACATTAAAAGTACAATTGATAGCTTTTTCCTTAGATCAGAAATGTAAAAGCTTATGTTTAAGATTTTACCAGGTCAGAGACTCATTGCAGCATAAATAATGTTGCCTCTGCATTCAACAGGAAATGAACAATTATTGCTTCATGCATCAATTCAGTGTAACAGATTTCATTAAACAAATATTGATTGAGCATGTACCATGTGCAAAGCTTCGGGCTGGTGCCACAGGGATTCACAAAGGAGGTTGAAAGTGACAACCACCATATTTCATAGCTGTTCTGTGAGACAACAAATGAGAAGTGCCAGAGTCTACTTAGGGGATAAAGCCAGTAAACAAATAAGCAAGCAAACCAATTAGAAAATTAACATAAGGCAACATGCTACAGAGTGGGTGACCATTACATCAAGTAGTCATGGGAGGTCTTTCAGAGGAGGTAGCAAGTGCTACCTGAGACCTGCATGGTAGGTTTGGATGTGTGGAGAAGACCAAAGACTGCACATGATGACCAAGTTGCCATTGATTTGAGTAAGCTGCTGTTTAGGTGCTGGCTGTCCTTATCCAAAGTGGAGTATTTTGAGCATGTATTTCAATATGTTTGAATGCTGAGGGCATTTCTTCCCAGAAACTTAATTCATTTGCCACACATGCTCATGTTCATTTTTATGGTTTTTTTTTAAATTAAATACAGAATTGGTGTTATTTTAATTAAAACAGTGAAGATAATTAGAATAAGACTAGATTTTGAGCTGTGGGTTTTTATAGCCATGGAAACAAGCATGGGCCCAGGGGATTGGCATTGCTATTTTATAACCATGCCTTAGTGTTTTGAAATTTGAGGAAATATGGTCTTTCTCCTTTTAAAAGCAGTTTAAATATTGTAGAATTAGTATCTTCTTAATAAAAGGCATTTTTTGCACCTGAGACATCTGTTCTTGATCACACAGTGGTTGGTTTGTGTATTTTTTTAATCCTCACCTGAGGATATGCTTTTATTGATTTGAGAGAGAGTGGAAGAGAGAGAGAGAGAGAGAGAGAGAGAGAGAGAGAGAGAGAGGGAGTTTGTGGGTTACCTCCCGTATGTGCCCTGATTGAGGATCGTAGCTGCAACCTAGGTATGTACCCTGACTGGGAATCGAACCTGTAATCCTTTGTTGTACAGGACAGTGCTCCAACCAACTGAGCCACCTGGCCAGGGCACACAGTAGTTGTTATTTTGTTTTGGATTATTAGTGACTTCACACTCTGGGGTTGGTAACAATCTTGTAAACAGAAATTGCAGTAATAATATTTCTAAGTTGTATGTGAGCCCACTTGGGAAATAAATGTTTCCATATTATTTTGAAAAAGTGCTTTCCTCAGCAGTTTATATATTTTTTAAAATAACACAACATCCCACAACCAACCCCCACACTTTTTCCCCACTGCACCCTTAGTAATATGCCTGTGCCTCCTGAGCCTCCTCAGCCTCTCCTGTTTTTAACATCAACAATGGGAAATTGGAAAAAAAATTATTGCTTCAGAAACATAGGCAATAAAGTGCAGCGAGGCCAAGAACTTAGAAAAACCTTAGCATGCAGGGTACTGTGAACATGAATTCTGAAGCCTTATTTTTTGGGTCTTGAAGAAGACAATTTCAGGAATTGATTTTTCTCTGCTGTTTGCATGACTCCCTTTTGTCTTTCTTTGTCCCTACACTGCTCAGCACACACCCGGACATCTGATAGTCATTCTCTCCCAGAATTCCTTTTGCACAGATGTGTTATTCCCCAATGCCCAGTATTGCAACAACAGTGTGTTTGATTTCATGTCTTATACACAAATGCACATGGTATTAAGGCTCCTGAGGATACAGAACTTGATCCATCAGCAGAAGAATAATATTCTGAAACTCTAATATCACTTTTCTAGTTCATTGTCTTCCCATCTTTTTTCCCCTACTTTTGTGACTTAGAAGATTCAGAGCATTTTCTGTGGTGATTTTGGCATAGTGCTTATCTAACACAGAAGCATCTGCTTCTGTTGCTCTTTTATAACCTAGTCATAGTTTAAGCTTTGGAAGCTTTGGAAAGCAGCCTCTTACTGTATGTGCCTTTCCTTTCTGCCTGGGCAGTGGCTTGGCTAAAAGGATTACATCGGTGGACATGCTATGGAATCTTGGCAACATTTTAAAGCAGGATATGTGGATTTCCTCTCTTTCTGACTGGTCTTCCAATTACTGTTCCACGAAGGAGAGCTTGGGCAAGGAACACCTTTGTGTTCTTGATTTCAAAATCAAACGTCAACCTCTGGAAGTTCTTCTCATACTTTAAATGGAAGCCAGGTTTCTGCTTCATTACCCTACATACACGCAGTGCCTCAAAGAATAAAATGTTCATAAATAATTAAGCCTGGCCACTAGGGCATTTGGCACTTCTTGTCTGTTTGCGATGTGACAGTAACTTGGCGCATGCAGGGTTCACGGAAGGTGACCTGAGGCAAAGGGTTGGTGTGCCAGCATGTAAAGGACACTGGGGAGGGTGCCCAGCCCTCTAGTGATAATGGCAAGCCCTCTGGAGAAAGAGTCCCTGGCTGGCGTCCCACACACAGCACAGACCAGCTGTGACCTCTCAAAGCCTTACCTGTTTCCTCACCTGGAAAACGGAGACAGTGGCAGCTTCTTCAGTGGTGTTGTGAACTATGACCGTTCATTCCCTGGCACATGCAAGTGGGAAATGAATGTTTGTTCTCATTAGTTTATTCCTGAGGGTCAGAGCAGTGATGTTTTGTTCTCTGTAATGCTGATGTGGCTGGGAACTCCCTGTGCTCCCTGGGATAGCGTTAAATAGAGTTTTCCACATACTCATTCTAATGTTCAGTCCTTTCTTTTTAGAGGTCTCCCCCAGGTTTGTATTTTTGCTTGAAACTCTTTTATGTTCCAATCGTGTATTTCTAACTTTCTTTTGGATATTTTCTCTTTGGGTATCCTGCTCCCCTGAAATCCTAACCTCTCTAAAAGTGAACATTTCACCCTTCCAAATCAAACCTCAGCTTCTTTGAAATATATACAGAGAGACTTCAGAGAGGAAGGGAGAGGGAAAGATAGAAGCATCAATGTGGAGAGATAACTATTGATCAGCTGCCTCCTCCATGCCCCACACTGGGGATTGAGCCTGCAACCTGGGCATGTGCACTGACTGGGAATCAAACCATGACCTCCTGGTTCACAGGTTGATGTTCAACTACTGAGCCACTCCGGTTGGGCCAAACCTCAGCTTCGTGACCTTCTTCCCATATACTAACTGGAGGTCAGGTTCTGTTTGATTAATTGCCTAATATATAACAAGTACTCATAAGTACTTAAGTCTGGTTCTGCTTTCTGAGTTCTTACTTACTGTGGAGCCGCCTTTGGCTCCTTCTTCCCCTCTCTCAATCTCTGTAACCAGTTGGCAGGTCTAGATAATTCTTTCTTTTTGACATTGAGGACATGTGTCCATTGCTATTGCTGCCAGTCTGGTCATGCTTTGTCGCTTCCTACATAATTTTCTGCCTAGACCAGCCGTGGGCAAACTATGGCCCATGGGCCGGATCCGGCCCATTTGAAATGAATAAAACTAAAAAAAAAAAGAAGACTGTATCCTTTTATGTAATGGTGTTTACTTTGAATTTATATTAGTTCACACAAACACTCCATCCATGCTTTTGTTCCGGCCCTCCAGTCCAGTTTAAGAACCCATTGTGGCCCTCGAGTCAAAAAGTTTGCCCACCTCTGGCCTAGACTGTCAGAATGCACTGCCTTGATGGTGTTTTCTTTCCTGCTCTGAATCCTCCATGATTCTCCCTGCCCAGCATATGTAATTTAAAATCCTCAGCTTTGCCTTCACTCTCCTTCCCTGAGCCCGAAGCTCTGGTCAGACTTGCTTATCACCCAGGGGTGCCCAGTGTGACTTTGCCTTTCCTCTTCCCACCTCCGCTTTTGTTTGCACTAGTGTTCCCTCACTTGGCGCCATCGGGAACCGAGAAGAGATTAGGATGAGTGAGTGGAGAGCCGCATGGGCTGGCATTAGAGAAAGGCAGAATTTGGATAGTCAGGCCTTTGTACTACAGTGATATGTTTTCTCTTCACCTCAGGAGCACGGGAGAGGGCTTTAAACAGCTGAGGGAAGTGATCTGATATGGGCTGTAAAAGGATCACTTTGGCGGCTGGGTAGGCAATAGATTGAGGGCAGGAGTGGAAGCAGGGAGACTGGTTCAGGCCGGTATGTTAGTGGCACTGATGGTCTGTAGTGCTGGTGAGAAGATGGAGGGGAATGGACAAATGTGAGATATATTTTAGAGGTAGAATAGATAGGATTTTGATAGGATGTCGGAGTTAAAGGATGGAAGCATCAAGGATAACTTTTACATCTCTAGTTTTAGAAACTGGGAGACTAATGGAGCCATGACTGAGACACAGCGGCCTGGAGGGGAGTAGCTTAGTTCTGTCACATTAGCAGCCCTTAAATGTTAGTTCTTATTATTTCCCTGTATTTGCGTTGTATCTCTCTGATTAACATTTTAAGTTCCCTGAAGGCAGAAGGCCGTGTTTTAAATTACACTGTTTTTCCTATAACATATATCATATGCCTCAGCCCTGAGAGATGGTGAATATTTAAATTCATTGATAGAAACTGTGCCATACTGTTTTTTGAATCATCTGTAAGTCCTCATTACTTGAAGTAAGCAATTAAAGAAATTGGAGGAAATTTCCATTTTCATAGGTCATAAATAAAAAATGAGGCTTTTCTCTTTCCTGTCACATTCAGAATTATTATTTAAAATGCTCACTTAAGTAAGGCTTGGGTTACGCTAGTGTGGAGTCTACAGGCTGGCTCACCGCCTCCTGGTGCCTCCCTCCACAGATGTGCACTGGGAATTACACGTTCGTCCCGTACATGGTGACTCCGCACAACAAGGTCTACTGCTGTGACTGTAGCTTCATGAAGGGGTTGTCAGAACTCATGCAGTCCAACTTCGAGCTGCTTCTGGGACCCATCTGCTTACCTCTTGTGGATCGTTTCATTCAACTTCTGAACGTGGCACAAGCTGGCTCCAGGTAAGTTTAATAAATGAAGTGTTAGTCTACTTATTTGTGCATGTGATGAGATGTTTCTTAGATATAGTACACAGCAGCCAGTGTGTATTATACAGTTTTCTTTATATAAGAAAACTGTATAATATCCTCTAGTGAATAAAATAGATACCCCGTAGTCGACATGTTGCTTTTTATTCACTTATTCACAGACTAACTTGAAATCAGAAATATAAAGGACTGCTGTGTTATACTGATAGTAGAGAGAAAAATAAATTTAAAGTGGAGAAACATTATCCTAGTAAATGTCCAGGGACTTTTATTTTAAGATCAAGAACTCTGCAAAAATTGCTGAGAGCATTATTATATTTTATTTAAATATAATATTATATGGCTTCTTATTTATTTTTATTTAAGGGTAATTTATATTGTTAAATGATGATGCTGAGTCAGAAAGTAAAGGTAATATTATGTTCAAATCATAGGCACACCTTAATTTATTTAGAATATTTATACTCAAAACCATAAAATTAAAAATAAAGTTTGGGCATTTTAAATGGTTCATTACAAGTTCTTGGGAAATTCATTAACATAGGATATCTACCTTTAATTCTTCCTGAAGCAAGGCAGAGTGTCAATAGAAATATAGGACTTCCAGATTTCTTAATAATGCTACTTATATGAGGTGTTCATTCTGTGCATCTCAATGAATTGAAAGCTACCAATGATGCAAATGCCATTCTTTTCCATATGACATTATTACTTTTCATTGAAATTCTTTCTAGTATTAAGTCTTTGACATGTGTTTTCCCATTAGCCAGTATTTCCGGGAATCTATACTCAATGATATCAGGAAAGCTCGTGATTTATACACTGGCAAAGAACTGGCAGCTGAATTGGCAAGAATTCGGCAGCGATTAGATAATATCGAAGTCTTGACAGCAGATATTGTCATAAATCTGTTACTTTCCTACAGAGATATACAGGTAAGAAGATGCTTAAAATCTTTTCCATGTAGTACTAGTATATTGGAAATATATGGGAGTATCAACATCAAATTTCAGTTTTCTATGTCATTCATGTTAGTATATGTAATTTTTTATTGACTCTTGTATGCTTTCTGTCCCAAGATTTTATGATGAACGAGATAGATTCATATGAGTAACAGTTAGTGATTATGAAAAGACTTGTATTATAAAGGTCTTTTTCCTCCAGAGGGACTTAAAGACAAATCTGCAAGCATAGCTAACCCAGGGACAATCTGTTCTATTACCTGCCAGTCAATAAGTAAAAGCTTTGTTTTGGCAAATAGCCAAAATTTTGAGAGTTTTTTTAGACATATCTTTATTGAAATTATGTTGCTTGAAATAGATAGCCAGAAGGAAGAAATATGCAATTGATTAATTTAAAAAATAACTTTATTTTTAATTTTTTAATTACTGTTGACATATAATATGTTTTAGCTACACAACATAATGATCAGACATTTTGATAACTTACAATGTGATCACCCCACATAGTTATCACAATATTGTTCATTATGTTCCCTATGCTGTACTTTTACATCCCTGTAAAAAGAACTTTTAAAATATATAATATAAAACACACTCACATTCCCTACTATTTTATTGACATGTCTTGGAATTGTAAAAATATGGTAAATAGAATGAAACTTTCTCTGAGTTGGAGATTTGCCATTAGATTTTTACAGTAAAATTTAAGTGAGTTCTGGTTTCTTATTTTCAGTCTTTCAAGCCTAAGTTAAGAACAGCAGAGATTCGTTCATGTGGAGAAGTGTGGCACTTAGGATCCTATGGCTAGAGTAGCTTATTCATGTTGAAATGAAGTTGTTTTGCCCTAACCAGTTTGGCTCAGTGAATAGAGCATTGGCCTGCGGACTGAAGGGTCCCAGGTTCGATTCCAGTCAAGGGCATGTACCTTGGTTGCGGGCACATCCCCCGTAGGAGATGTGCAGGAGGCAGCTGAATGATGTTTCTAACTCTCTGTCCCTCTCCCTTCCTCTCTGTAAAAATCAGTAAAATATAGTTTTTAAAAAAGAAAGAAATGAAGTTGTTTTGTTGATGATAACAGAAGTTCAATCAGTTGCTCCATGTTCTTGATATTTTGGAAATTATTTTTCTGAAAGTAATTGATAGGACACTGCATGCCAGGAATCTGGCCCCATGGAGAGGTACAACCATATTAAGTCAGTATAGCATTATCATGCTAGATGGTTTATTGTTTTGCTGGTTAGATGTGGTAACTGTACTTCCAGTGTTTTAATCTATATAATCAAAACCCTTATTTTTTTTTAAAGTTTCTTCTTGGTTGTACCTTTTTCAAAGTATTCCTTGGATTTTAGTTCTGTTTTTGATGCCCTACTCAGATTAAGATATCTGGTTGTCAAAAAGCATATCATTGTCAGAACTTTCTCCTACTGGTTTAATTCTATGCTGTTCTTTTCCTGTTTAAAGGAATATGATTCTATTGTGAAGCTGGTAGAGACTTTAGAGAAGCTGCCAACCTTTGATTTGGCCTCCCATCATCATGTGAAGTTTCATTATGCATTTGCACTGAATAGGTAAGAAGAAAAATTCCTGTTCACAATGTGCTAGCTTATTATTTTTTAACCTGTATATTCTTTCTAGGGTATATTTTTTTGCTTTAGCCCTGCATCCACTCCCTATAAGAATACAATATTAATATTTCCACTTCAACCATGTAAAATATAGGAAGCATGAATTTTTATTATTTTATGATTTTTTGTTAGTAATAAAAAAAGTCGCAATCTTTTAATAATAAAATCCTTAAAATTCTTCTCTGTCAAAGGTTATATCTGCTATTTACATGTTTTTAGAATTTTTTAAATTACAAGAATATGATATTACTTTAAGCAAACATACTCAATACCAAGTGGTTATCCACGCAAAAATTGACTAAAATAGGCCTGGCTGGCATGGCTCAGTGGGTGAGTGGCGACCTATGAACCAGGAGGTCATGGTTCAATTCTCGCTCAGGGCATGTGCTTGAGTTGCAGGCTTGATCCCCAATGTAGGGCATGCACGCGGCAACCGATCAATGATTCTCTCTCACCTTTGATGTTTCTGTCTCTCTTTCTCTCCCTTCCTCTCTGAAGTCAATAAAAATATATATATTTTTAAATTGACTAAAATAGGTTTAAGGGTAGTTATGTCTAGGTGAACATATTCTGAACCAGATAATATTTTCACTAGGACTGCTCTGAACACACCTAATTATAATCATAGATCATGTGTCCATGAATCTTCTAGGTCCAGGACTAATTCTGCTGCTTCTAGTCCTGCCTCTCTCCCTTCTGTCCCCATCATGGCACACAACATACATACTTGCTGTTTTAGAATGAGCTACACAAAGCAGCTTTTTAAATAATTGATTGGTCACACATAGAAATCAGGCAATCCTTGGGTTAAAGTTGACTTGTTGGTATTGTCTGTGAATTACTTTGCTCAGTGTTTTGGAGCAAAAGCCATTAAAACCTAAAGTCGGGGTTTTGTCCCTGTTTGGATTAGTTGACTCTGCTCCATTTGTGGCCACAAACTGCATTCCTAATCTCACTTCACCAGCTTGAACTTGCATATAGACTGCAGGGAAATTGGAAGGACTATGGATAGGTAAGAACAAACCATCACCGTTATCAGAAAAGCAATTCAAGGGAGATCCTTGTTAGAACCAGGAGACAAGCAGTAGGATTAAAAAACAGAAAGGGTTGGGACAGAGGCTTACAGAGGACTCTCAAAGTCTAATTGTTTTTATTCTGCCTAGTGTGAATAAATATATTAGAATTTTAAAAAGATAATTGTCCTACTTGGTTTGACTCAGTGGATAGAGTGTCGGCCTGCGGACTGAAGGGTCCCAGGTTCGATTCTGCTCAAGGGCACATGCCTAGGTTGTGGGCTCAATCCCCAGTGTGAGGCGTGCAAGAGGCAGTGAATCAATGATTCTCTCTCATCATCAATGTTTCTATCTCTCCCTCTCCCTTCCTCTCTGGAATCAATAAAAATATTTTTTTAAAAGATAATTGACCTAATCTGTATTGAAACAAGATGTTTTTCTCCCCCTACCTTAGGAGAAATCTCCCTGGAGATAGAGCAAAAGCTCTTGATATTATGATTCCCCTGGTGCAAAGTGAAGGGCAAGTTGCTTCAGATATGTATTGCCTAGTTGGTCGAATCTACAAAGACATGTTTTTGGACTCTAATTTCATGGACACTGAAAGTAGAGACAATGGAGCTTTTTGGTGAGTACGGAGGATAAGATGTTTGACAAATGTATGACATAAAAAATGTTTGCAAATTGAAGAGTTAAATTATTATTATCATTTAGATTATGTGTTATGAAATGTACCTTAGAATTTATAGCTTTAGTAACCAAGTTCGATGAAATTCATTTAATATGGCAGAGTAAATTGGGATACATTAGATGAAAAGATATTTTTAATATAATTTTAAAAAGATATTTTGTATGTAATATGACAGAAATATAAGTTTGTGGAAAATTTATAAAGGTTTATTAAAGACATGAAAGAAGAGCTGAATGAATGGGAAAATATACCATGTTTGTGGATGAGAAGACTTGATACTTTAAAGATGTAATAATCAAAAATAAATAAATAAATAAAGATGTCATTATCCTCAGCAGGCTTTTTATGTAATTTGACAAATTTATTCTAAAATTTATTTGAAAAATAAAGGACCAAAAATAGGCAAAGCAATTTTGGAGAACAACATGGAGGGACTTACTCTGCCAGATAACAAAACTTACTATGTAGATGTAATAGTAAAGACTACTGGAAAGGATGGATATTGTGAGTGAAAATATGAAGAATTATCAAAGATATATGTAAACTAGAAAAGAACCAAAGGAAAATTTTAGAACTAAAGTCAAAATTTCATCAGATGGGATCAATAGCAGGTAGGACACAATATAAGAGGATAAATAAATTTGAAAATGAATTATTAGAAAGCATCCAGATTCAAGCAGAGGAAAGAAAATAATTGAGAAGGAAATTAAATATCAGTGCCCTGTGGAATAGCGTTGAGCAGTGTAACATACTGTTGATTGGAATCTGAAGAGAGAAGAGAAGTGATATAACAGAAAAATTTTTTCAAAATTAATGGCCAAATATTATCCAAATCTGACAAAACAAACAAAACAGCCTATAGATCTAGGAAGCTGGGCAAAATCCAAGCAGGATAAATTCAAGGAAAAGCATCCTTTATCACATCATAGTAGAATTGCTGAGAAAATCAAAGAAAATATCATAAATACAACTTAGGTAAAAAGATACATTATATACAG